TCGGGTTTCCACGGAGGGCGGAGTTTAACACTTAAAGGATTTTTTAGCCTACTCTCGTTAGTCTTAAAAAAATGTTTTCTAAAGAATTTTTTATCTATGCTTTTATCCTACAGATATATCCCCACATGGCTGAAATGCAGGTACAAGATTATGTAACACGGCAAAGTGAAAACAGGGCGCATTGTATGCTATTATTTGTGTGACAAAAGGTAAAAAGACTATATGTATATGTATATGAACGCATTTTATCAACATAATGCATCTTTGGAAAGATGCACGAGAAATCAACACCCGTGGATAATTTTGAGGGATGGGCTGTCTGGGAAGGCTGGGAAAAAGACTGTTACTGTGTATCCTTCTATAAGTGCAAAAATTTGAACTTTGTGAATGTAATACTAATTTAAAATACACATTTATGGTACAAAAATTAGGACAACGCAAGGAAGCACAAAGAAAATAAAAATATCCCTTATCCCACTACTAAGGGCTATCATTATTAACATTTTGGTTTATCATTGTAGTCCTTTCTGCTAGGCAAATAAACTCAATATCTTTTTTTTTTTTTAAACTTACAGGGTTTTTTTCTAGGCTATTGTATGTTTTACTATGACAATATTATTGCAACCCATCGTATATACATATATATGTATATATAAAATTATTTGCAAAGTATATACATTTTACTATTCTAATATACACCATTTATAAATATTTATAGTATATAATATATTTAATATAATACATAATCAAATAATATATTTTAAAAATTTTTTTTATTGATTTTAGAGAGGGGAAGGGAGAAGAGAGAAACATCAATGAGAGAGAAATGTCTATTGTCTGCCTCCTGCACGCCCCCTACTGGGGGTGGAGGCCCCAACCTGGGCATGTGCCCTGACCAGGAATCGAACCGTGACCTCTCAGTGCATGGCACAACGCTCAGCCAACTGAGCCACACTGGCCAGGGCTCAAATAATATATTCTTAAATATTACACTTATAATAGTAATAAATATTTAGAAATAAAATTTATAATTTTGGCATATGTTTTGTACACACACACATATATTGCAAAACATATGTAAAAAGAGTCAAAAATGAGAAGTTTTAAATTGATGTTTTAATATTTTCTTCCTACCCCAGTGATTGGTCTTGAACTCCCCAAGGTTGAGAGGCTTCGTTTATATAGGTAAATGATTTCCCAGAGAAGTATTCCCAATTTACGTGAATAATCATTTTTAAAGTAAAGAGCACAGGTACATGGCGGCAATTTACAGCTTACTACCAGTCAGGTCTTCCTTACATCCCTGTGAAAGGAAAGGAAAAGCTTGGCTTGGGTGGGAGGTTTGTAAACCACTTTGCCTACCACTGATTTGCAGGCGATTGTTTCAGAGACTCAGTTTGCAGGCCAGTGGTCTAAAAAAGACTGGACCCAAAAGAGTTTTGTGTTCAAGGAGGACTGGGGAATGTTACATTCTGCATTTGTCTTTAGAGATTTGTAAAGTTGATGACCTTTTAGATACTCTGAGAAATCATACAGGAAAGAAACCCATTTGTTTAGTCTAATATTCTCCAACCTTATTTAGTTAATTCACCCTTTTATAAATTTCAAAAATCCCCTAAAAATATCCTGTACAATTAACTTTCCAAAAGTCATACTTTGGAAAATACTGATCTAAATATGAAGAGGAAGATCCTGAGTCAGTCTGCGGGACTCGAGCCCCAGCTTCACCCCGAGTGATGTTGGGCAACTTAGCCTAGTTTCCTCGTCATGTAAGGGGGAGCAGAGAATAAAATTTACCATCTGTAGCTGCTGAGGGGACTACATGAGGTTATACGGAGGTATATATGTAGACTAAGTGTGATAGTGAACCCTCGCTAAATGTTAACTATCACTCTTCTTGTGTTTCATGGATAACCACAGAAACAAAGGCAATTGTAAAATGTAATACATTTTATAAACCGTGTCCACAATAGAAACCATTAAATTAATGACAAAAAAGCTTTAAAAAATCTTGTTGTTTTTACAGAAAGCATCTCTGAGACTTTTAGATGAAATTGCTTTTAAAGAAAATAGAAAACCAACATGTACATAAATATGAAGCTCTCCCCAGAAAATGATTTGAACTCGTGAGCTTTCAGATTCAAATTCTATTCTGATGAATTCCACTTGTTTTGCTGCGACCGAACGTTTTGGACGATCCAGCAGATTTCGGAGTATCTGAGAGGTGCTCCTTCTGTGAGTGCCCATCTTCTGAATCAGGGTGCGGGGCGGGCGCATCTCTCCCAGCTGCTTCCACTGTGCCTCTACCCACATGCTGACATGGAGGGTTTCGTGGTGGGACTGGCCTTGCTTCACACACACGGTTTAGTTGCATTCTCCCTTAATGAGCTTCTGCGGCTGCACACTCCTCACATCAGAAGGCTGCTGTGGTGATGCAGGAAAGCAGCCAGCGCAGGGCAACTGATTACATTTATGGCCGGGTGGGGCATCACAGGTCAGAGGCCCTGGGGCGGTATGAGACGCATGAGCGCCCTGGGCCCCACGCAGAGGCTCCTGGGGCAGAATTCTCAGGCTTGGGTCCAGGAATCGGTGTGTTTTGAAAGCTCTTCAGGTGATTCTGAGGTGTACACATAACTGTGAAAGTCGCAGAGCTGTTGCAAGTCTTTAGTTTACAGACCAGGCTTAGAGAGCTTAAGAAACTGCATTTTACCGGGTTCAGAACACGCTGCCCCAACATATGGCACTTGGGCATATAAATATTCTAAGCTGAAGGAATCTGAGAAGCAGCAGGTGCAGGAAGGACTCTCTGACCTGCCCTTGTCCCCTGAAGCAGGTCAGAAGACCTTCAGGTGAGAGGGGCCCTCCCTGCACCAGAAGGAGGGAGCGCCCTTAGCACTGAAGACAGAGGCCTCCGGAGGAGCCGTGAGGAGCCGAGAGAGCCCAACAGGCCCGCTCCTGGGGCTCATAGCCTCTGTCCTGCCACCTCTTCCCGTGACGCTGCTCTTCACGTAGGCCAGCGTAAAAGCACTGCAGGGTAATGTTTACGATGGCTCCGTGTCAAGTGACACTTCCATGGAGTAAATGTGCAGGCTTTTCTCCTGCTGACCTCTCTCCAGTCAGTGCAGGTTACAGGGCCAGCTGGAGAAATCGGAGGGAAGTGGGAAAAAGAAAAGGAATTCCTTCCTCGCATGGAGCGAGTCAACCCCTAGGCCCCATTACTTCACATGGAAAGGTGGGGTGGTAAACACACCTACTTTAGAGGGTTTTTGAAAAATCCAAATGGCATAACCCAGGGTAACATTTATTAAGCATTAGTTATCATCAGGCCATCACAAACAAATTGTGTGACCCTTCTGCCTAGAAAGTGTCTGACACCTAACAAATATTGTTCAAGACTGAAAAATATGTGGCTTTTCATTCTTTCCAAAACGGCACGTAGAATGCATGCAGAAGAAACGTGTGCAGCTTGGGTACATTGATAAGGAGGCCTGCTGGTGAGAGGAATGCTTCCTTCGTGATCTGGCTGTTTCCAGAGATGGCATAGCCAGTCTCGCCACAGTCGCTGGGGATGGGCGAGGCTGGCTGTGCCATCTCTCCAGCCCTGAGCATGGCTGTACCTGGGCAGGATGTCTATAAATGCTTCCCAGATGTTACTAAATAAATCAGGTCTGTCCCGTTTGTGGCATGCTATTCGCTTATGCAATTCCATTTGAATCACCGAGACTCTGCTCACTGGCTCCAAACTTCCGGAAGATTTTTTGAGTTTGAAACAAATGCCTGGCGCTCTCCTCAAATTCCTGAACCCTCAGCTGCATGGCCTCAGGATGGGCTTTTAAATTCATAAGGCAAGTGCTTCCCCAGAGCCCAAACAGGGTAGATCAGCTTCTTCACACAACAATCTTGAAATGTTTTCTTAACCTCCTTTTGCGGCTATTAAAACTGAGATAGGAATTTGACTAAAGACTGATGGCTCCAGCTTCGGGCTCTCCTCGGTGTCCCCAGCAGGCAGCAGAAACAGCAGCTCACGCGCCGAAAGGAGGGAGCCACACGGCGCCCAGAGCAAAGGCTCTGCTTGCTGGTGCCCATAAAAAGCGGTGAAAAAACTAGCAGATTGCAAATAATCTGGTCAGCAGCAGCAGGGCCGTCATCTCCAAACACCTACTGAGAACCTTGAGACATGGGGAGAAAGATGCTTGGATCAGAATTCGTCTGAAGAATGCTGGGTTAAAGAGAGTGAGAGAGAGTTCTTAACCCAAAGCTTTGAACATGCCAATGAGAATTGTCAATTTCTAAATCGAGAAAATAGGTTTTTCTGAATTATTGAGCACAGAAAACTTTTACATTAGCACATAAGATTAATATTCCTCAGAACACATTTTGTGAAATGTTGATCTAAGCAAGTCAAATAAAATAAAGAAAAGAAACAGTATGTATTATATGTTAGCATAGAAAAAAGAATGAAAGAAAATACTCTAAAATGTCACAACTCCAAGTGGAGGGATTACCAATGATTTTTATTTTATTTCATTTTATTTTTTGATCCAGGCTTT